TTGACTTAACCCCAGCGCCCAGTAGCCAGCATGAGCAAGCCAGGGCAAGCCTGACGCAAAACCTCAGGTCTCAGCTGCGCAGCAGAAGCCGTGTTGTGTGCAGCAAGTGATGTAGGTGGGTCTTATAGAAATATGACGAGTTTATGAGTGGACAAGATAGCTGCGAATCAGGAGTCTCGCGCTTCAGATGCTTCAACAGTCGCAATCTTCGTAGTGAACTGTCAATGATGGAACCTCGAATCGTTGCAAAAGAAAGTGCCACGGGGCAGGTTGCCATCCTTCAAATTGTTGTGACTCCTGGGCGTTACAGATACAAGAGTGCCAAGCTGGGAATTTTCTGCGGGGCGTTTTGCTTCATTGCTCACGACTCTATGGAGCGAGAGAAAGCTTCCCATCCAACAGTATGACATGCCACGCACAAAAATGAAAGCGAACAACTTCTCACAGAAGAGCTTCGCACTTGCACGTGTTCATGGCCTTGCTGCAAGCATTCCTTTCGTCGCTCGTCAGGCTGCCATGCTTCATTTGGCTCCTCACCATGTGGCAGCCGGTGCCGACTATATAGGTGTAGATCAACATGTGGCAATGACCTCAGACATGCTACTCAGGTCCATCAAGATGTAGGTGCTGCCTGCCACGATCCATATCCAACAGCTTCTTCACGAGGTCCACGGCATGCAGAAGCACGTCAGCACGGCTGCAGACTGGGTCCTCGCCCTCAGCATTCACACGCGAAGTCAGTTCCATTTCTACAAATCAGGCGCGGAGTGTCAGTCAAACTGCTCACCAAGTCGGCTCGGACTGGGCTGGTGCCACAGCATTCCATGCAGAGCTCATGGCCATAGCACAGGGGGACACTACAGAATTTCTCAGCTGTGATGTGTTATCTCAGAAGGGATACGTTGTCAGCGAACATCAGCGTGGCCCTGAAAAAGAGGTCTCACAAGGACACCCTGTTCAGGAAGGCAACGACAGTGCTTGCGACACACCGAACACATTCTGGAGAAGAAGCCAAAGCAGGGAGCAGCCAGCATCCTCAAGCTGCAACTCACACAGGTTTAAGGTTTAAGCTTGCGGGTGTGCCTCGTGTATTATAGAGGTCCTGATCGGCGACAAGCCATATGAACTCAGCGCAAGCCCACTGCCGCATGCAAACGGTAAGGTGCGAAACTCTGGACTGGACACGCACCTGCGACAAGCAGGGCAATGGGTGAGAATCTTAGAGTGTGCTGTTAACGCGGGTTCCTGCCCGCGTAATGATCTCAGGCGAGTCAGGAACGCAAACAAACATAGAATGGATTGACAGCGACGATTGTCTGATTTGAAAAAAGGCATCACGACATACAGGTAGAACAAGAGCAAGGAGAATACGGAAGACAGAGGCAGGACATGTAAGCACATGCGAGCCGCATTCAGGTACCTGCGACTAAAGGAAACAGCTCTCTACCCGTAACGTATTTTAGTACAAATTTGCTTGCGGATGGCTTGGGCAGCGATCGATAGCACTTGCGAGGCGTGCACGCTCGAGGGCATCTCCAAACAATTCCTCACAGCTGTAAGAGAGCGGTGAACATTTTGTACAAGGAGCGAGCGTGCAAAAGTAAGAAGGAGATCTAGATGAAAGGCGGCCGGCCGTCGAGAGCGGCCCTAAAGCGCAAGCCAAGTCCCTCAAAGCCGGCCACCGGGAACGAAGAAGCTTGACGCACGCTCCCCCTTCAGTGACGACTGGGTCGACGCACCGCTGGGACGAACTGGGGGCAAAGACCCAGAACCAGACAGCAGCAAGAGGGAGCAGCGACACGGTGGAGAAAGAGATGTCAAAGCAGCCAAGGAAATCATACATTGCAACACATGTTGGCTCACAGATTTCCCCACACTAGGCCCCACTCAGTGCACGCATGACGCCAATTGTGGGGACTGACGAAGGGAACTAAGAGCGGGCCAAGCACAGGACTCTGGTCACCTTAAGGAGGGTTGAGACAGAGAAGGAGGAAAGAGAACCAAGGAAAGAAGGGATCCAGCCTCTTTCCTCTATCCGATCTACAGCAAAAGCAAGGAATAACATACTTGGGCGCGAGCTAGTACCATGATCAGTCCATGGAGGTTGACCTCAGAATCCTGACCTGGGAATCCCATCTGCGAAAGCGGAAAGCCCAAACTCCCTCACAATATTTGTGGGAGCAGAAAACAGGAAAGGAAAGAGAACCCCTGAGGTGCGGGCAGAGGAATTACACATTCCTGCAAAGAGAATGGAAAACTGGGAGGTGCAGTGCTTGCACCCATCGAACGGCTTGGAAGGAGCAGCTTAGCAGTCGTCGACTCCTGGAGAAGAAGCTGGACCGAACTCAGTTGGCTTGCTGAAAAATGGGGCGACATCAGTGTCTCATGGAGACGATCCCGGGCTTAGACAAACGGCCACGCTCGCAGCGTGCCCTCCGAAGCCTGAGGAATACCTCGCCACTCGATTAGCTAGGACTGGAGTGGCGAAGCATTGGGAAAAGACATGCACAATGTAGGTACGGTGCCATACCAGATAGCAACAAAAGAGAGCCGGGAACGACAATGAACGCATAGAGTGTTCTTGGTCGGTCCAGATTTTTCGCGCATATTCTGCCCAAGCAGAAATGCACGCGACGAAGCGCGGGATGGAATACTAATAATTCAGGATATAACTTGTGAATATTTGCAATGATGCAAGTCTTACTCCATTGCAGCTGTGATGGCAACAATTGTCTGGGAGTGGTATTGCACAGGAGCACCAGGCATCGGACATAGCTTTCAAAAAGGAAGCAGGCAGAGCAGAAGAACGCGGGGACACACAGGGGAAGAGCAGGGCTCCTGCGCCACAGCACGGCTGCACTGGGAGACTTCCCATTTCACATGAGCAGCATCCTATTTGTGGATAGGGTCCCCCATACAGATGAGATGAACTTCCCCTGAGAGTATTGTATATACTTTTCTATGGAGAACCTAATCTTATTGGGTTCGACTACTACCGTGAACGCCTATACGTTGCTCAAATGTGGGCTGCAACCTGTTTTTCTCATATTATGTTCAATCTGCATGGACAAGAGGTGGGCAGGAGGTGGGCGAAGGGATGGAGACATCTCTCGTTGGGCTGCTGCTGGGTAATGCCGTTGTGCACCGGCCAACTAGTGCAGATATAGCTGGCAGTTCTGTTCGCATCCGTAACTGCCACTTACAACCGCTACTGGCGCCTCAGACAACAACCACCAACACCTGAGGTGAGTTGTTGGTGCCAAGCGTACGGATGGCTCTGTTTAGCAATGCAGGCAGCACGGCGCAGCATTTCTCTCCTAGCGCATTGTGCACAAGCAGCGCTCAGACCGTGGCGGAAGCATCCGGGAGGAACCAGTAGCATCTTAACCAGCGCAGTCGGCACTGGCATGGACACGCGGTAAGATGTGCAAAGGGCACCCCGCAGAGAAAATGTGCTGGGGAAAAAGATATGGAAGCGACACCTGGAGACAGGGCATTTGCATGGACACGCAGTTTTAGAACATGATCGCATCTTCAGTATATCGAAATACAGTGTCTTTCAGAGAGTACTGCCCAAATTCATTGACCTAAAGGACCTAAAGTTACTAGGTTGCAGGATGACTCCATGTGCCAAGGCATCTTATCTGCTTATGCATGTACACCGAGTTCTGTTGCAAAGCTGCACGCAAGGGGTCCACTGTGGGTCAGCATGCGCACAGAGTCGGAGCCGACATAGCCCGCTGCTTACACCCATTGCTTGATGACAGCACATGATTTGTCGGTTGGGTATCCATCAGGTAGCGGGTGCTGGCCTTGATGAGCACATGCAGCGTGCTGGCGATTGGGTAGGGGCCCAGTCCGTGGGCCGTTTCGGCAGCTGAGAACAGCAGCATTTAACAGGTTTCCAACTCCCGCCCTGCAGGCGCAGCAAGTCCATCAGCAACTGACGGGGCAGCCGTTATCCCAGAGTTCTGTCAGTGCATTTCAGTGGCTTTCCTCGCAAGAGTGCGTCATCGCTACCCTTGTGAAGGAGTGGCTTAGAGTGTGTCGCTACATCTCCCAAGTCCTTGCAAACCATGATTCTTTACTAGACCCCTTCCAAAATGCAAGCTTACCAACTGCTGGCGCTCACGAGGCTTTTTCATCAGGAATTCCCACCGGTGCCCTGAAAGTCCTGACTGCGTCAATGTCTGTTATTGTTGACATTGGTTTTGGCTCGTTGCATTCCTTCCCTCCAGTGTCTGACGGCATGAGATCGAGAGCAAGTCCGACGGAATTGTTTGCTGCCAGAGCACATGCATCATTGCACCATCCGCTTTGTGACGCACGCAAGACAGCACAGCCTTGTGCATGCTTTGCTGCTTAAACCTACCCAGGGATCAGATCTTGTCACCCTATGACTGCTCAACAGCGGGGGACATCCCATCATGGTCCTGGCCTCACATACTGTGTATCGCAGTGCAGTGCAGCAGGAGCGTGTACAGATTTCATTTACCTGCGCATGAGCTGGGCGAGGTCACATGCACACAAGGAGTGGTGCTGCGAGCATCAAAATATCGCGTGAGGGCCTTGAGATGTTAATCACGGTCTGAAGGTTGGTCCTAATTGCGTGCTCTAAAGCTTATTAGCTACGATGACGAACACTGATATGAGTCGTAAACCCCATGAATTTAAACATTATGACATATAACTTACTTTCATTTTCTTCTTAAGATTAGTTATATATAAAAGCAGTACATGTTTGGGAAAGCAAGGATGTCCCCAACTCCAAGAAGATTTGTATGAATTGCCCCCTAATGACCTCAGAACCCCCTGAACTCATCATTACGGGGATCTTAATTGGCCCCTTCTATCACGACGAGTGCTGGCCCTTTGCAAAGTGCTCTTCTAGTACTTTCGGTTCTCTGGGAGGAAGGGTATTCATTAATTGGGTGCGGTTGATGATTCGGGAGAAGGGAGTAGTAGCAGCAGTAGGGGCATCATGTTCAATAGTTTCAACATGTCAAACCAGACAAGGCTGAAGAAGTCCTCACCTCCACAGGATGTTAACGTTTTTTGAATGTTTGGACGGAGCTTGATGTGCAGGGTAGGGATGGGGCAGAGTTGACGGCGGGGCATAGTCATGTCCGTTCCAGCTGCAGACGTGCAAGAGTGAGGTCCAAAGAACTGGCATGGTGACGCACGAATATATTTATTCTTATCCTGCCCACCCCTCCCCCGCCTTCCCCCCCACCCCCACGTTCCTGTATGCAGCTTTGGACCCGCTCGCTGATGCTCGTGCCGAGTCTCATGGAGAGCATGCACGCTAAAGGGTGCAACAATACTGACGACTCCATAATCGACGCTCTTATCGCTGCAGGTGCGCCGAAGCTTCGTCAACAGTCGAGCTGTCATGCTTTGAGGGCTTGTTTGTTCTTGCACAGTTGCCAGCATTTATCTTATGGCAATGTTGGGAAGATCTTCCATCAAAATGAACGAAGGGTCATGTTTGCTGTGACTTTGGCAGTGACTCTCCTGCCAGGCATCCACCAGCCATCCTCCCCAGCACTATGTGCCTCAGCAAGTGCATGAGGGCCGTGATGAATCCAATGAAGAGCTTTCCAGATCATGGTTTCAACGGCGCAGTCGCACCATCAACATCCATGACATCTGCTGACTCACAAAACAGCCAAGATGTGGATTTCCGTCCCTCTTCACAAGGGCAAGTGCGCTACCGCGGGTTGGCTTGGTACAGTTATAGTTGCTTCTGTCCAACAGCCTGATCCAATAGAGAGGTATGACTGCGCGGCTGGCATCAAGAATTGGCTAAAAGGTGCGCTCCAGCAGTTTCTGGCTTTTTGATCATGAAGTAGGGGGCCCCGGGTGGCGTGACTTAGCTCGCTAGAGCCGAGAGCCTTATTCTCGGGTTGTCCATAATTTGGCTGAGCCAGTCTGAGTTGCCTGCTTTGTTGTGCTTTGTACAAGGCTGGTCGCATCGTGGCACCCTAAGTTTACTCACGCTTGGGGGGGCCCGGTTGCCAGCTGCTGGTAGGGTTTTGCATCATCAGCTTGGGCTCGAAGTGCCAGAAGTTGATGCAAATTGTCTGGAAGGCGCTGTGTTTCTGAAGTCATCGTTGTCAAGCGGATTTCTGCGGAACATGGCTCGTTGGCTTGCAATCAGCCCAGGCAAGCAGTCATGGTGCTGCCAGAACAAGGGCATCGGATGCCTGCATGAAGTTAGCCGCAGGCTCGGTTAAGAAAGCCAGGTCAACCTGGCAGACACTCACAGGCACCAATGCTTTTGTGGCAGGCCAGACAACTTTGGCATGTCGAAAAACTGAACCTTCCGTGTGTGAGTGCTGCCAATTTGGCTCAATGACTGGCTAGCAGATATCGCAAATCAGCGGTCACGCCACGTAGGTGCTGCTATGCATCAGACAGCAGCTCCAATGACCAGCATCATATGCAAGATTCTAATCACAGGCGAGCAGAGAGCAACACTTGAACAAACTGAGCAGCTGGAAGAACAGAGCATAGGTGTCCAGTAGTTTGGACGCAGTGCCGCCTTGTTTAGGGGCCAGGGTGCCTTGACATAGCTTCTGTGCAACATGCGATTAACGTGCGGAACTAGGGCTTCGTCTCGTCACCAAAAGGTGTTTTCTAAGACGCACGTGGGCCAGGGCTATGGAGGCAGCCGCAAGGTTGCGGGATCCGCATGCCGAGACGCCCCAGAGCCTGTTCACAAGCCAGGACCGATGTTGGCAGAGGTATTTTGCAGGGTTCCCGGTTCCCGGCCTTGCAGCACGAATGCCTTGCGTCGGGTTCCCGCCAAAGTAAAGGCTGCCAGTGCGTTCCCAGTATGCAGCGATGGCTACGATTGATTCCGCGATTTTCTCTGAATCCATTTGTTCCATAAATCACCACTCGCCGTTCTGACTGAGACAGGAGTTGGAGGATCTCATAATGCGGGACAAGAAGGACAGCTTGTGCTTGAGGACATGCACACGTGTAGTTGACGCGGGGAACCACCAGAACTCGAAAGCTTATGGAATTCGCTGCAGTTGCTCTGGAGGCATTCCTTAAGACCAAATGCGCTGAATGTGGTGGTGGCTGTGGTCTGGTGAAGAAGTACAAAGAGACCATGTCAGTCCGAAGCTCAGCGAAGCTCAAAAAGAGAGCTCACCATCGCAGTGCCCCCCTTTGAGCGGGTCCCGAAAGACCAAACCAACAACGAACCTCCTAGAGGACCACTGCAAGGTGGGTTGGGTGTAAGGCGGCAAGAAGGCTCCAAGCAAATGTAGAGTTGCAGGCTGTCAATCTTGCTGGATGCTGTGGCATCAGTGATGCCGCGCGATGGCGAGCATGTTTGTAATCATGGTTGTAATGTATCGATTCGATCGAAACCCAAAACCTACCGATAATAAGTCGATAGAGTATTGCTAGGTATTGCCATTGACGATTCCGTTCGCTTCGGTTCGGTGTCAGCGCATGGCCTTCCACCCCCTCCACCTTCCTCCACTCCTCCTCCACTCCCTCTCCACCCCTCCACCACCCCCTCCATCCAAGTGCCCCTCCATCCATCCAGCCACATCCTCTCCATCCAGCCCCTCCCCTCCAGCCCAGCCCCTTCAGCACCCTCCATCCTCCCGATCCGACCCTCCCCCTCCATTCACAAGCTGCTTGGTGAAGCAGACCCTTTACCCCTGCATGGGCTTCCAGATGTTCCTTGGAAGCCGATTTCCTGTCCAGTGCCTTAAGTGAACAGCAAGACGTAAAGGAGCTTCAGCATGGGGAAACTTGTGCCGGCAAGTGGCCTTTTACCCAATGTAAGAGGTTGATCCTTCTGTTCATCTCGCAGGGAGTACAAGAGAGGTTGCAGGAGAGAGAGAGATAGAGAGAGAGCAGCCAGAAGGCTCGACAGGCAGCAAACGGCTGACCGCTACCACATGGTGCCTGTCGACCACGAGGCCACCACGCAACCATACAGGCCAGTGACCAGAGAGGCCCGTCATGGTGTTGCCGCTGGAAGTGGAGGACCGCTGCCGCAGGAGAGACAAGCTGACTTAGAATATGAGCTCACAACGCAAGATGAGGAGCAAACAGAGAGGTGGGATCAACGACAATGGGCAACAGAATATGAGAAACAGCTTGAGGAGGAGCGAGCAGAGGCACAGTACTTGGCTGAGTACCAGGAAGAACTGGACGTCGAGGAAGGCATGGAGGCGTACGACCGGGCCAACCAGGCGCGGGCCGATGCAGACACCTACCTGGACGACTCCAGCGGCGGCCCGGGGCGCGATAGCGACTCCTGAGTTCCAGCAACAAGTGCCACTGAGAGGGCGGGCAGTGGCTGTTTTCTGGAGCATCATACCCCCTGCAACTAGAAACGTAACGGCTCCTGGTTGGCTCTTTGGTTACTGTTCCCCCTATTGTTGTCTTATGCTTACAAAGTTGCAGATGCTACCAACGTAGGCGCTTTTGGACCAGGAGCGCAACTGAAGGTCCATGTTTGCAGTCCCTGACTCGTGTTTCATTTATCATAGTTGCAGATGCTGCAAAGTAGGCGCTTTTGGACCAGGAGCGCAGCTGAAGGTCCGTACTTGCTGTCCATGACCCGTGGTTACAAATCTTCTGCGTTGCTGTAAGAGGGCTCGGCATACTGGTTTTCAGTGCGCAACCCAGTCATGGCCGATACGTAGCAAGCACGCGGGTGAAGCCAAAAACCTAGTGAAAGCCACTGGGCATAAAAAATTCTCAAGAGCCTCGAAACAAGAAATACCAACACTCCCCTCCGGGGCTGGGGATAGCTTGTTGATTTCCATCATCCTGAGAAATGGCTCACCCCAATATGCGTGCAGTCTCACCTGTAACCAAGGCCTATCGGGACATGACATTACTAGGGACTTCGCTTGTGGTTTCATGCATGGTCTTGATACGTTGTGGGTTGTCTTGTGGCAAGTCCCAATTTTGAGCTATGGCCTTAGCCGTGATCCGTGAGGGCTGAAGGCAGCCTGGAGCCGTTGCCAGCAGAGCAAGAGCTACGGGCAAGCTGATAAGAGGTCGACCCCGAGTAGCCACGGGCACCTTGTGAGGGACCAGTCTAAGGCAAAGTGTTATGTGGGGGCTTGACAGCGAAGCTATCGGGAGTTGCCGTGAGTCGCAGAGCATGCCAACAGAGTGCTGCTTGAGTGACATCTGTCCGGTTCACAGCTGTGCTCAGTAGCGGCGAGGTTCTCAGGCAAGACTGCAAGGGATGAGTGTGATAGTCAAACAGTGCTTTTGTCGGGGCTCTCCTATGGCTACCTTGGTCGTCTTCGCGGATTTGCCTGATTTCGGTAGCCGGGACCTGGGGCAGTGCTCGACGGAGTGTGCACCTGCTTGGGGCTTTGCCCCGGCCCTCCCTTTGCCGGGAGGGTAGAGCAGTGAGAAGAAGAAGAAGAAGAGAGGCAAAGGGAGAGTGAGAGAGCACGCGGTCTTCGGACTGCTTAATGTTGGACCCTGTTTAATGATAGGGCCCCCCCCCGTGAACAATTACCATTCCTCTTTAATACGGCGGCCTCC